TTCCGTAGTGATACTGCCTCGGAAACCCAAGGAGGGGTCGCTATGAGTCAGGGCTGACTCGACGGCACATAACAACAACACTTTTAACATAAATTATGTGAGACAGAGATTTGTGGTACCCCAAAGGAGTTGTTCATTGTATGTTCAAGGCTGCTCCTAATGGACATAGTCTGTTCATTTCCTCTCCTTTTTCTTTTCCTTTTTTTCCCTTCTCCTTACATGGCACCCTCATTAATTTTCTTACCTCAGGTCCCCTTGAGTGCCTTCTTTTTCATTTTTATCCTCCATTTTAAAAAATCACTTTTCTTTTTCTGATCACTGCGTTTATTTTCCTTTTTTAACCCAATCTATGAACATAGTAGCATCATTAGGAGGTGCACAGTGAAAAGAGCCAAAGGTTCAGAAGTGCATTGCCACCATAAAAAACTAGGATTTTCATTTTATTTTCTCATTTCTTTGTTATTTACAAGTGTGAAGAGTCTAATTCAACAGTTGCTTGTTAAATGCTGTTCCTCTCTGAAGTCTGTCATCACTGTCACTAGTCAAGTGACCAACCATGCTGGTTATGCCTGGGACTTTGCTGGTCTTAGCACTGAAAGCCCTGCATCCCGGGAACCCCTTAGTCCCAGAGAAGCTGGAGCAGTTAGTCCCCTAGACCACCGAAAATGTGGTGTTGGATAGTCTGTATGTGCAAGCCTACCCTTTGCCCTTAGGAGCTTGTAGTTTTGTGGGGCATGAGAAAGCAATACATGTAATAAATCAGTTAAAGTAATAATATAAACAAGGGCATAGATTTCTTGGATCACCATAGCCAAAAGAGTGCTACAGATGATAACTATAGGGCATCAGAAAAGGGGAGAATAATATGTTATACACATAAGAAACCAATGTTATAGAAAACTTTGCTTCTAATTACACTGTTTTCTAATTGCCTATCCTTGAACCAAACAACTGTGGACATTTATACTGCTTTGGTAAGTTTATTCAAGACATATATTTTTCACTTGCAGTAACGAGGTGTAGAGACTTCTTTCCAGAATAAGTTGAACCAGTCCCACTAATCATTTTTTTAAATTAGTTTATAGATTCGTTCACCCAGGTAAAACCTGTACCTATAAACAAAGCCATGTACTTCTTTTATTGTTTTCATGCTTCAGATACTCTTAATTCATTTAATCTGGATTTATAATGGTCGAAATTTCCAGCCAGGGGATGGAAGGGGGATGGTTGGGGAATTTATCTTCCCTAGAGTTTAGAGGTCTCTACCCTGACATCTGAGAGAGAGATAAAATGTACGGAACTGTGATACCTTAACAGTGGATTGAGTTGCTCATTGACACATTCGTCAGCCTTTAGGAGTGCTGACTTCTCGTGGGTCTCCCTTGCAGCATCCTCTCCCCTGCCCCCCAACACACTGAATCCCTCGATCTTGTACGTGTGCTTCCTACGTTAGAGGTCTGGAATATTGGTGATCTGGACCTTCTCCTATTAACCTACTAAACTGAGGTCATGCTCACAATAAAATAATAAATAAAATATTGTGTTTCATAGCTATGTGTGTGTGGATTTCAATTGTTTTTAGGTGGCTGCAAAATTCGAGTTCAGGGGGACTGGACCAGAGAGCGTCGCTTTGAAATCCCTGATGAGGAACACTGCTTAAAGTTCCTCTCAGAGGTCCTTGCTGCTCAGGAAGGTAACTCAAGACTCTTTCTTTCTACAATTTAAGTGGGAGAGAAATCCTTACCTGCTGATACAGAGGCAAGTGGCTATTAGCAAAGTACCTCACACCCTTTTTGGCCTTAATACTGACATTTTTTTTCCCCCTTCAGGGGATGAACCCAGTGATAGATTAGAGAACAAGCCTATTCAACTTTAACAATTTGAGCCAGTTGCAAGAATCTTCAATATCATGGCAGGCACATTTTTTTTTTTTTAGCCCCTTCCCTTATATTCAGGAATGGTGCTGGCCCTCTGTGTTTAAGGAACGTTGTGTGAATGGCTTTTGATGATAATAAATTCTACTCAATGAAGGGATCCCCAGATTCTGACTATGACCCTTCTCTCTCCAGCTCAGTTACAGCTGCTTGTTCCAGAACAAAAGGACTCATCCAGCTGGTACCAGAAATTAGACACTAAAGACAAACCTGGGTTTTCAGGTACTGAAAGGATACTTTTTCCCTCATTGCTATGCTCATTGCAGAGTGGGTAGATGAAATGATAATGGATTAATGGCAATGTCGGACATATTCTCCTATGGAGTGGTTTTAGCTAGCTCATGCCTCTGACTAATGTAATTCCTAAGTCTTTCTGTGGCATGTTAGCGCTTAGGTTTTTGTGACGAGTAAGTTAGGTAATGATACAAGGTATTGTGCTAAGCCTTCAATAAATGCTACCTATTATTATTCAGATCACTGAATAATGTAACCTACTATTCCAGTTATTATGTCTGTGCTTTAGGGACAGATACACTTTTTCCCCAGATTTAAGTTATTGTCACCTTTCTACCTTTCTGTTTAGTAACGCCACCAATGAAATTGTTAGCCCCATCTGCCCTGAGTATCTTGGATGTTGACTTTTTTTTTTTTTTTTTTTACCCTCCCTTTGACTTTGGGGTCCGTGTCCTTCAGGGCTTCTTGGATTTGAGGATAATTTTTCATCTATGAATTTGGACAGAAAAATTAATTCACAGAATCAGCCTACAGGGACTCATCGGGAACCCCCACCCCCACCCTCTGCTGCCAATAGAATGTAAGTGCCGCATCAGAGACATACTTCCCATGTCGGAGACTTATGTTTTAGGCAGTTTGACTTTTGAATTCCTCATTCGTCAGGATTCCACGTGAAAAAGAAGCCACTAACAAGGAGCAACCCAAAGTGACCAACACCATGCGGAAGCTCTTTGTACCAAGTAACCAGTCTGGGCAGCGTGAGGGTCTCATCAAACACATCCTGGCAAAGCGGGAGAAAGAATATGTGAACATTCAGACTTTCAGGTTAGTTTCTCTTCTGCTTACTGATTAGTAGGTATAGTACAAAACAGCCTTTTGCCATTGAAGTTATTGGTTTAATTAAGAATGAGAACATGATAAAAAAAAATGATCATCTGATTCAAGCCCTTATCTCTAAGCTGGTCAGTATCATACGTATCCAAATCCAAAATCCCTTGTATTCTCTAACCTCTTCTTTAATCACACCTACTAATGTTTGTGTCTACTCTTGAAGAACCAAATCTGGCTTATATGTACCAGAGGGTTGTCTGGTAGCACATTCCGCAAGCAAGAATGTTTAACTATCTGGCCTGCTGATTTTTTTTTCCCCAGCAAATATTGAAAAAGTAAAGTTCATCACCACCACTGGATCTTAACTTACTTTGAAAAATTAAGGAAAGTTTCACCCATTGTCTCTTTTTGATTGGGAGGTCTGTATTCATGAATAGCATGTGCCCATCTAATCTAAGCTTCCAGTCCCATCTGCTATCCCATCATGCCTCATTTATTCCAGTTCAATCATAACTATGTCCCTATGCTAAAACCTCCAGTTTCCTATGTTCCCCATGATGATTGTATTGGTGTGTAAACAATTAAGACTGTCATGAGTTTTCCCTTCTGCTTTCTTCCTTAATATTTTATGTGCCTCATCAGAATTTTCTACATGGATGTCCTTGTAATCCTTTGACTAGCTTACAGCATGAAGATAATACTTTGCTATCTACAAGCTCTCTGTTGAAGTATGCATTTGGATGGAGTTGAATTGAAAGGAAATGTAGTAGAGCAGTTAAATTTGTGTTTTTAAAATAGAGATTTAGTTTTTTTTTTTCTCTAGGTTGACTTAATGTAAAATTTAAAGAAAATAAGCCTCCTGCTTTTGTAGTCTAGATAGAAGTTTTTCTTATGTGTGTGGCAAAACATCTTGAGAAATTATTTTAGCTTATTATGAACTTACCCTTATATAGAAGTGACAAGATGGAACTTTGTTGGTTCGTATTTGAACTTTTATTTTCAAATTATTTTTTTGGTATTATATATTAGATTTTTTGTTGGAACTTGGAACGTGAATGGTCAGTCTCCAGATAGTGGCTTAGAACCTTGGCTCAACTGTGATTCAACTCCTCCTGATATCTACTGCATTGGGTAAAGAATACTTCTGGAATTTGCTTTTAGCTGTATGCTTGGTGCTCATTTATGTGTTTGTCTTCCTTCCTTCTTTTTTTTTAACTGTTTGATAGAAACCTATGGTGGACTCTATGTGAGAGTTAACTTATAGGTCAAATTTGTGAGATCAGAAAAGAACACGTACCTAAAATGATGTAAAGAAGCATCTATCAAAACCAAACTCACTGCCGTCAAGTCGATTCTGACTCATAGCGACCCCCACCCCTTGGGTTTCTGAGGTGGTAAATCTTTATGGAAGTAGATTGCCCAGTCTTCCTTCCACTGAGTGGCTGGTGGGCTTGAACTGCCAGCCTTCTGGTTAGCAGTCAAATGCCTTAGGCACTACACCACCAGAGCTCCTTAAGGAAGCATCTAGTACTCTTAAAACCCATAGAAAACTATATTCTTCATTGAAATTGAGACATGAAGATATTTCTAACAGTGACTATTTCTAAGCTGTAAGAGCAAACCTGTTCTATTACCTCTTATGAAGGATTTTTGTTTCTTTTTGCATAGCCTATGAATATGCTGGTGGGGGTCTTTAGAAGAGAAAGCTGTTTGTCCTTACTGATCACCTGCTGAACAGAGAAATTCTGTAAAATCCCATCTCCTCCCCCCATTCTTTTTCTTTCATCTAATGTTTTGGAAAATGGGACAAGAAGTAGTCAGAAATCATTATGGGCTATGTATAGAGCTCACATCCTCTTGTTTCCTCAGATTTCAAGAGCTGGACTTGAGCACAGAAGCCTTTTTCTATTTTGAATCCGTGAAGGAACAAGAGTGGTCCATGGCTGTAGAAAGGGGTTTGCATCCTAAGGCCAAGTATAAGAAAGTAAGCCATAGTCACTCATTTTCTTTAGTACATGACTAAGTAGAACTAAAAAAAAACCCAAACCAAACCCACTGCCATCGAGTTGATTCTGACTCATAGTGAGCCCCATAGGGTTTCCAAGGCTGTACATCTTTACAGAAGCAGACTGCCTCTTCTTTCTCCTGCAGAGCAGCTGGTGGGTTTGAACTGCTAACATTTTGGTTAGCAGCCCAATGCCTTAACTACAGTGCCACTAGAACTCCTTAAACAGAACTCATTAGGAGTTATTTCATTATGTGTAACTTTTTCCAGCAGAACAGTTTAATTGAATTCTTCCCCGTGTGTAATACTGGGGTAGGACAGATGAATTCTAGAAGAAAATGTCCCTGAGCTTCTCCATCCTATATTTTCATTACTTAGATATCTTTTAGGAGGAAGAAAAAAGAATTATTGTTGTCAGATCAATAATTAACTCAAAATAATTACCTATAAGGTAACTCATTTGTGCAGTAAAAGTTTAAGATTGAAATTGTTCATTGGCATGTTCAGAAGTGGGTATTCTATAGAAAAACAGCATAAAGGACATGGGTGCATCAGGTATGCTTTAGAGTCAGAACAAGAATAGAAGTCTTGTGGAATTTAAATAAGTTCTAAACTTGGTTGTAAGTCAAGAGGCATAGAGTTGACTCTACCAAGGTGGGCCAGTTTGTTCGTCTTTAGAAGGCATATGGTAGAAGCATTTAGCTACCAGGAGAGTTATTTTAATTACAGAGCTGCCATACTAAGCCCTTTTGAAGGAGTAATCTGTCTGAGTGATTTTTGTCTACATCTTCTAACAGTTTACTTAGGGTAATAAGACTCTGGAAGATGATATTCCTTTCATATCTGGGATCCATAGATCCCAGACTAATCATATTTCAGACCTATTTCTAGTTATGGTTCACAAATTAAAAAGAATCAGAGTTGTCCATCAACAGATGAATGGATGGATAAACAAAATGTGGCATAGACATACCATGAAATATTACCCAGCCGTAAAGAGAAATGAAGTTCTGACACACGTTATCACATGGATGAACCTTATAAATATTATGCTGAGTAAATCAAATCAGAAACAGAATGGCAGATATTGTGTGCTCCCACTTAAATATCTCTAATAGGCAAATGCAAAGAGACCAAAAAATTAGTGAGCTGTGGGTGGGAGAAGAAATGGGGAGGTACTGCTTAAGGTGTACTGGGTTTCTGTGAAGGGTGATAACACAATTTGAAAACAGATAGTGGTGATGGTTGCATTGCACATGGTGAACATAATTGATGTCATTGAAATGTACATGTAAAAATTGTTCAAATTATAAATGTTGTTATATTTATTTGACCACAATAAAATAAAAATCAAAGGATTGCTGTCTTACAGATTTAAATTGCTTAAAAAGAAAATTGGAAATGAGAAACTAGAAGGAGAGGTGGAAGGAAAAAGCTGTGGTAGAGGCTTTATCTTGAGTATTTAAACTTTTAATGTTGCCTACTCCTGGTAGGTTAGGCAGTGATTAAAATAATGGATCCAGAGCTTAAGTGCACTCATTGTCTCTGAAGACCTTTAACTTTTATTGGTCAGGGTCAGATTAGAGCTTCCCCAGAGAATTTTTATTTCTTCTTCATGGGGTCCATAGGGAAATTGGAGAATTTTGATTCAGATTTGGGCATGATTTTATCTTCTCGGGGGAAAATTATTTGTGGGAAGTTAGATGTATGGCAAAGAATGGAATTAACGTTAACCTTTTATAACTCCTTGGAACTCATAGGTTCAACTAGTCCGCCTTGTTGGGATGATGCTCCTAATATATGCCAGAAAGGACCAGTGGCGATATATCCGTGATGTTACTACAGAAACAGTTGGAACTGGAATCATGGGGAAAATGGCGAGTTACTTTGGAAATGAGATTTACTATTATTTAGGTCTATGTTAAGTTCATTTGCTACTTGTGTCTTTGAACTAACTGTGAATTTTTACTCTTGCTAACAGGGAAACAAAGGTGGGGTAGCTGTGAGATTTGTATTTCACAACACTGCATTTTGCATTGTTAATTCTCACCTGGCTGCTCACGTGGAGGACTTTGAGAGAAGGAATCAAGATTATAAGGACATTTGTGCTCGGATGAGTTTCGTGGTCCCAAATCAGACCCTCCCTCAGCTGAACATCATGAAACATGAGTGAGTGGTTAACTCTCCTTCAGTTTCTGAGTAATGGGGATAATAATAATAATAATAATAAATCCCACTGCCATCAAGTTGATTCCGACTCATGGCGACCCCCATCAGGTTTCTGAGGCAGTAAATCTTTATGGAAGTAGATTGCCAGTCTCCCGCAGAGTGGCTGGTGGGGTTGAACTGCCAACCTTCTGGTTAGCAGTCAGATGCCTTAGGCACTGGGCTACCAGAGCTCCTTGAATAATGGGGATAAGAAGAGGTTAAAGGTGTGGAGAAAGTATGGAGCTGTGAAGAGTGAGGCATAGCCTGTAGGGGTTGAGGTCACAAGGAAGAGGACGGTGTTTGAGGGCTAGCAGACTCATTGAAGCAGAGACATTAGATTGGACATCACAGGAAAGGTTATTTGTCTTAGTGGGGCATCTTCAGTAATGCTGAAGGGGTCAATTTCATTCAGTTTGTTTGGTATTGTGAAATAAGATGTTCATTATAAATGTAATAAAAAATCAAGAGTGAAAATTCCTCATTTCTCATCTTGCATCCTCCCCAGCCAAGCCCCTCTCTCCAAAGGAAACCATCATTAACAGTTTAGTGTTTATCCTCCTAAATGTGCTATCCAGTGTGACAGCCAGGAGCCACGTGTGGCAGTTGGGTTTTGAGAGGTGTGTAGTCCAGATTAAGCTGTGCTGTATGCATGAATTATGCACTAGATTTCAGAGACTTAGTAGGGAAAAATGTAAAGTATGTTGAGTTGAAAAAAATATTGATTACATATTGAAACGATATTTTGAATAAATAGTTATTTTCACTTTTTTATTTTTGCATGTAGCTTCTAGAAAACTTAAAATTACTTTTGTGACCTGAATTATATTTCTTTTGAATAGCACTGTTCTAGACTTTAATGTACATACATTAAAACACAGTTGTTAGTTATATAAGATTGTATTATGCTATTTCATGTGGATCTCTTTCCATGTCAGTATATAAAAACCAAACCAAACGCACCGCCGTCGAGTCAGATCCAACTCATAGCGACCCCTCCTTGGTTTTCCGAGGCAGTATTACTATAGAAGTAGATTGCCCAACTTTCCTTCCGAGGGGTGGCTGGTGGGTTTGAACCTCCAGCCTTCTGGTTAGCAGTCAAATGCCTTAGGCACTATGCCACCAGAGCTCCTGTGTCAGTATACAGAGACCTATATTATTCTTTTTTATGCCTGTGAAAATTAAGAATAAGGGCAGGGGATATTTAAAGATACCAATGGAGCAAAAGAATAATGTGAGCAAGAGATCAGTGAAGAATGGGACTTATTAAGGATAGACCTAGAAATCAGTCGAGGAATGGATTGAGTGGTAGGAAATGATTAGTCGTAAGGAGATTAATACTAGTGATTAAAATTCTGAGGGTGATTTGAAAGACATGATTTAAGGCAGTAATTCATCATATAGGGTATTAGAATCAGTAGTCAGGGAATTGAGGGAAGGGTAGAGAAAGGTAATGATACCAGACTGTTTGCACGTTATGTCAACAATCAGAAATGTCATATGAAATTCTGTTTCACAATGGTAAAGTCAAGGCATTGAGATTTATGGTCATAAAGTTGCCCTGAAATTCCATAAATTGTATTTCTCTAGGATTCCATAAATTTCATGTTGTAGTTGAGATTGGCAAAATAACCCATTAGGAGCTTGAGATAACAAACAGCAGAATCCATTTTAGTGTATAATTTCAGGGTCTTCCCCTGTAGGGCCCTCCACACATCTAGGGGCCTGTTAGAGTGATTGGAACCCTGAGGATCCCATGCCATGCCACTCTCCTTCTTGCCTGGACCCTTGGACTACAGATCTTGGGTAGAGGTAGATAGGCTGGCTATACAGGAGAGCCCTGGACAACTTTTGCTAGTGGGAGAGCTATCATCCAGACCATACAGACCTTAACGAGGAGCCTGCAGAACCTCAGTGCTCTGAGAGGCAGAAACTGTTCAGATTCTTTTCCCTAGGAGGACCTGGCAAGCAGCCAGGCAACATTTTGAAGTTAGTCCAACAGATAAACTTCATGATTCTCAGTCAGTTAACTCCTTAGCTTCTGAATCCCATGTTGTTATGTGCTGTTGAGTCAGACTCGACTCATAGCGACCCCTCCTTGGGGGTCTACAGAGGTAGATTGCCCAACCTTCCTTCCGAGTGGCTGGTGGGTTTGAACCGCCAGCCTTCTGGTTAAAAGTCAAGTGCCTTAGGCACTACATTTAACATATTTCCCCTTTTCAGTTCTTTATGTTTTCATGCATGGAGTGCCTATCTCTCCCACCTATTTTGTAGTCTTTCAGGTGTTGCAATTACTTGCGTCAAAGGATCAATTATAGTTTTAAACCCCTTGTCAGATAGTGATAAATGAATTCTTATCAATAAATTACCCATTTTTCTTCTCTTCATTCGTCTCTGGTTGATTTTTTAATGCTAATTATTGCTACTTCTGTGCATATATTTCTTGATTCTCAGTGTTGTCATTTGGTTGGGAGATTTGAACTATAGACTTTGCATGCCTGATGCCAATGAGGTGAAAAGTCTTATTAATAAGAATGACCTTCAGAGACTCTTGAAATTTGACCAGGTGAGTAAATTTTTCATTGTATAGGTAATTTTCTAGGTAATAGATTGTCAGGTTTCTGAGGTAGACGTATTGAAAGTGTGTCTTACTGTAGGAAAAGATGGTAAGGTCTTATTGTTTTATGAAAACACTGTGACTAGTAGTTCAGTACACATATTACATACAAGGTGTCTAGTTCTTTTATTAGGTCTTTGGTTCAGAGAAGGGGAAATAACATTAATGAGAAGAAGTCATTATAATATTTGTTCAATAAGTCTTTATCAAGAAGAGATTTCAGAGATTTAAAGAAGTTGGAGAATGGGTGGGGTTAATTGGAGGAAGTGGGCTTTCAGCTCTGTTGATGTGGTTTGGCAGATGAAAGGAGAGAAAACTGTTGTTTGGTTACTTGGCAGACTGAACAACAGCTTGGAGGTAAAAAGAGGGAGGTCCCATAGCCAAGGCTATGGTCTAATGGGAACTGATTGATAAGTTGGGGCTGCCTGGTGTCTAGATGTGAAACCTGCAGAAAAGCATTGAAACTGTAGCATTTATATAAAACCTGATATTCGGGAAACTAATTTTCCATATATTTGAGGCAGTAAATTTGCCTTGAATCCTGGCATGTGACTTGAATTTTAATTTCAGCATATAGATACTGGCAGCTGAAAGTGAATGCTTATTGAGGGAAGACAATGTTTAGGCTCTATTCAAATGTTTTTAAATCCTTATGTGAATCTTTTCGACCTTCAAACAGTGAAAACCCAGGTGTTTTGCAGTAGAGTGGCTTTTGTAGTTAGCCTTTCATGTTTGTGTCTACCTTCACATTGAAGTTGGCTGACTAATTTCTTTGCATTTCTTCTTACTTCCTGCCTCTAGAAGTAGTACAGTTAGAATAAATTCTGACTCTTAAGTAATTCTAGTAAAATATTTGAATGGGATAACTTTCAGTGTGCAAATACCTTTTTTTCAACAACATAAAAGGAGACTATGTACATAGACCTCACCAGTTGGAATACACAGGAATCATATTGACTACATTTGTGGAAAGAGGTGATGGAAAAGTTCAATGTCATCAGTCAGAACAAGGCTAGGAGCTGACTGTGGAACAGACCATCAATTGGTCATAGGTAAGTTTAAGTTGAAGCTGAAGAAAATTAAAGGTCCACAAGAGCCAAAATACAACCTTGATTATATCCTATCTGAATTTAGAGACCATCTGAAGAATAGATTCGACACATTGAACACCAGTGAACGAAGACCAGACACACTGTGGGATGACATTGAGAACATCATACATGAAGAAAGCAAACTGTCATTAAAAAGACAGGAAAGGAAGAAAAGACCAATATGGATGTCAGAAGAGACTCTGAAACTTGCTTTTGAACACAGTAGCTAAAGTGAATGGAAAAAAAATGATGAAGTAAAATAACTGAACAGATTTCAAAGGGCAGCTCAAGAAGACAGAGTAAAGTATTACAATGAAATGTGCAAAGACCTGGAGTTATAAAACCAAAAGGGAAAAACACAATCGGCATTTCTCAAGCTGAAAGAACTGAAGAACAAAATTAAGCCTCGAGTTGTAATATCGAAAGATTCTATGAGCAGTATATAAATGATGCAGGAAGCATCAAAAGAAGATGGAAGAAATACACAGAGTCACTGTACCAAAAAGAAATGGTTGACATTCAGCCATTTCAGGAAGTAGCATATGATCAAGAACTAGTGATATTGAAGGAAGAAGTCCAAGCTGCCCTGAAGACATTGGCAAAACACAGGGCTCCAGTAATTGATGGAATACTCATGTTTTAACAGACAGATGCAGTGGTAGAAGTGCTTACTCATTCATGCCAACAAATTTGGAAGACAGCTACCTGGCCAACTGACTGGAAGAGATCCATACTTAGGCCTATTCCAAAGAAAGGTGATCCAGCAGAATGTGGAAATTATCAAACAATATCATTAATTTCACATGCAAGTAAAATTTTGCTGAAGATAATTGAAAAACGGTTACAGCAGTGCATAAACTGGGAACTACCAGAAATTCAGGCAGGATTCAGAAAAGGGTGTGGAAAAAGGAATGTCATTGCTCACGTCAGATGGATTGACTATGCAAACGCATCCGACTGTGTGGACCATAACAAATTATGGATAACACTGCAAAGAATGGGAATTCCAGAACACTTAATTGTGCTCATGAGGTACCCTATATAGACCAAGAGGCTGTCGTTTGAACAGAACAAGGGGTTACTGCATGGTCTAAAATCAGGGAAGGTATGTGTCAGGGTTGTATTGTTTTACCATATTTATTCATCTGTATAAACAAAAAACCAAACTCACTGCCATCTGTATACTGAGCAAATAATCCAAGAAGCTGGACTATATGAAGAATGCAGCATCAGGATTGAAGGAAGACTCACTAACAGCCTGCAATATGCAGATGACACAACCTTGCTGAAAATGAAGATGACTTGAAGCACTTACTGATGAAGATCAGACTACAGCCTTCGGTATGGATTACATCTCAATATAAAACAGAAATCCTCACAACTGGACCAATAAGCAGTATCATGATAAATAGAGAAAAGATTGAAGTTGTCAGGGATTTCATTTTACTTGAATCCACAGTCAGTACCCATGGAAGCAGCAGTTGAGAAATCAGACGTCATGTTGCACTGGACAAATCTGCTGCAAAAGACCTCTTTAAAGTGTTAAAGAACAAAGATGTCACTTTGAAGACTAAGGTGTGTTTGACCCAAGCCATGGTATTTTCAATAGCCTCATATGCATGTGAAAGCTGCATAGTGAATAAGAAAGACCGAAGAAGAATCGATGCCTTTGAATTGTGATGTTGGGGAAGAATACTGAAAATACCATGGACTACCAGAAAAATGAACAAGTCTGTCTTGGAAGAAGTACAGCCAGAATGCTCCTAAGAAGCAAGAATGGCCAGACTTCATCTTACGTACTTTGGTCATATTGTCAGAAGGGACTGGTCCACTGCAGTAGGATATGATGCTTGATAAAGTTGAGGGTCACCGAAAAAAGGTCAGTGAGATGAATTGACGCAGTGGCTGCAACGATGGCTCAAGCATAGCAAAGATTTGGAGGATGGCACAGGACCGGACAGTGTTTCCTTTTGTTGCTCATAGGCTCACTGTGAGTTGGAGCTGACATGACAGCACCTAACAACAAAAACAACTTTCAAAACAATTTGTAACTATTCACTGAATTTGGCTTTTATTATTATTCATTCAATATTTGTGTGCATTTTAAAAAATTTGTATTCACTGCCTCCAGCTCGCCTTCAGGGAATTTAGGATTATTCAGATTTCATTTTTCCATTTTACCCCTGACTACCATTAGTAATAAAAATCAGTGATGTGGTAAGAAAGAGCACCCTATGTGAAGATGAATTTAGGTGCCACTGGAATGCCAATATTTAAATCATAAGATAGAGAAATCGTACCTTCTCTTGCACGGTTGTAATGGTTAAGGAACTAGAGACTTAGAAAGGGGAATGGCGCCTGATGAACCTGATGATCAATTACATTAAGGTGGTGTTACCCCACTTACAAGATGCTTCTTTTTCTCTCTAGTTAAATATTCAGCGTACACAGAAAAAAGCTTTTGCTGACTTCACAGAAGGGGAAATCAAATTTATTCCCACTTATAAATATGACTCCAAAACAGATCGATGGGATTCCAGGTAAAGTAACAAGAACCTTCTCATGGAATAGCCTGAGGCCTGACCCTATTTCTTTCCTTCCATATTGGTACAGGGCCCGGGATGTTTTAGGTCATGCCCTGTTGTTGTTGTTGTTGTTGTTACGTGCCATCGAGTCGGCCCCGACTCATAGCAACCCCTCCTTGGGTTTCCGAGGCAGTATCACTACGGAAGTAGGATTGCCC